GCAATGAAGGCAAGCCAAATGCCGCAATTAAGGCGACTAGGGGCAGACCGCAATTAAGGCGGAAAGTCCAACACCCCCCTCACGCTTGGGCCTCAATGAGCCCGAAGCCTGGACGATGCAGGAAGCCCAACAATGGATCTAGGATAGGCTCTGATTCCATCTCAAAATTTTGGGTTGGGCTTAACTCAACCCTACAAAACTGTCTTGTAAGGTGAGGATTGCCCTCACTTATAAACACAACACAAGCCATATCTCTAAGCAATGTGAGACTAAATCCACCCCTTCAAATCCAACACAATAAAGGTGTTGGGGGCTGCAATGAAGGCAAGCCAAAGTGCAGGGAGATCATTAGGTCAGCAAGTTTTGGGGCCTATAGGGGCAAGGTCATTCAAATTTCTATAGATTTGTGTTTTGCGAAGTTTAGCTCCATTTTTTGGAATAAAAATTCCAGGCTCTTATGAGTGTGCTCCTTGCATATATTTTTACGCCACTTCAAAATCATATTAATGTGGTTGCCTGATATATCTGGTTACATGGAAACAGAAGCTATGCTATGTGGCCTATGACTATGAAGCTGAGCTATTGAAAGATACACAAGCATCATTTGAAGCTGGTGAAGGGAGGTATACACTCTCGAAAGAGCGGTTTCAAACAGGAGAGATTTTATTCCAGCCACGTCTTGCTGGGGTGTAAGTTTTTATACTTCTTCCAATATTGTTACAACATATTCTATACATATTTGCTCCAGATATTATACTTATGTCTGCCATTATTTAGCTGATTTGCTTGATGACCTTTTTTCTTTTCATTTTTTGTTCTTTCCAATTTCAAACCATGTTTAATACTAGATTGTTCAAATTACTGGAATAAGGTGATAATACTAACTTTAAACTTTACACAACTTTGGTATGATTCTTCTGAAGGCATTTAACTCAATTGAAAACTAATGAACCTAAATTATGCATTACTTAATGATATGGTGATATGTGATAATTGTCTAAATCATGCAGTATAATAATTGATTCTGATCTTTCTGTCTTATTTGTTTATGTTGTTCTAGCTTAACATATTTTCTACAATTTGGTATAGTCGAGCAATGAGTTTGCACCAGGCCACAGCTCTCTGTATGGACCATTGCTATTCTGCAGAATTAGCAGGCGGCAGTGATTGGTTTAAGACCATTGTCTTATCAGGAGGTTCTGCATGTTTACCAGGTTTAGCAGGTGAATGTCTCTTTTTCATTTTGGCACTTTCATCTTTGCATCTGAGCATGACGATGAGCTGAAACGACAACACAGAATACCCCTGTTATGGGCTACCATTTTCTAACTCTACCTTTGGGATCATATGCTTCAGAAAGGTTAGAGAAGGAACTTCATTTGTTACTTCCTCATATGTCGAATGGAATCAGAGTCATCCCTCCTCCACATGGCGCGGATACTGCATGGTTTGGTGCAAAGCTTATTGGCAGTGTGAGCTATCTACTAACTCTTAAATATTCACATTTTTCTTGCTCCACAGGACCTCACTTTTATGCTTATCAAGTTGAAACATTTTGATTATTGAAACTTTCTAAGAAACGGAATTGACTAAATATTCATTAACAACTTTGTGTCAGCTTATATATGGTTACACAATATAAATAGTTTGTGCCTATGTAGAGCTGACTGTTTGTAAATTATGTTCAGTTGAGCACATTTCCTGCCCCCTGGTGTACAACAAAGAAGCAGTTCCGCCAGAAGTCTAAACTCAAACGAATATGGTGATTACTTGGTTCGAACCTTCTGTTCTTGATGATATAATTATTCTATAACAGCAACTCTGCTTAACAATTCCATCCTTGGGCAGCAACACCAAAGGAGTGAATTTATTTTTACTTGTACTTAAGTAACGAATACGTTACACATAGTTTTGCGGATAAAAAGCCTTTATAAGCAACCAGTTAGTTTAGAATGAAAAAGAGTCAGGCTTCATCTGTAATTTATGTACTGTACCATGTTAAAAATGTGTTAATATAGTTTAAGACCAAATCCACTATCTGAAAGGTTTAAAGTATCAGAAATATATACGACTTGGTAATTTGTATTATTGGTTATGGTTATGTAAGTGCAACCAATGAAAGAAAAAAAAAAATGATTGATGGAGAAACTAAAACAAGGAATACAAATTTTGGGCGGGTTGGTGTCCAGGTTTGTGTGAAGATGGTAAGTGCTGCTGTGGGTATGGCCAATGGCAAGGAGTTGTTGCGGTGGTTCCACTTCTACAGTTTGATTCTACTTTGGTATGGCGGTTGGAGAAAATGACTTAAAACCAATTTGTTTCTTAAAACTTGCAATTTCAATGTAATACTTGAAAATTTAAAATTCTCAATCACATTAGTTATTTTGGACATTTTAAGGACTGCATGTCTTTCCTCCTCGTCTTGAACCAACAAAATGAAGATCAAAACAAGAACTTGACCAAGGAGTTTTAGCTTTACCCTCAAGCTGTATAATTGAAGTTCAAAATGAAACATGTGAAACTATCAAGATCGATTGGGTTTGTGGTAGCTAAAATCCCATGAAACCAAACGGCTTTTTGTTCAAGAGTTTCGGAGAAAGGATGAAGAAGATCAATTCATAGCTGAACTGATAATTGGCTCATAATTTCTTTTGGATTACATGTTCACAATTTTTGGACCTAAATGATATTAATGGCCATTTGTTAATCATATCTTCACGGGATGGTATAGGATTTTTAAATTGTGGTTGCGTGTTGTGATTGTGGTTGCTGTGATGCGCATTGCGGCCTTTGCGGTGTGAATTTTTATTGGGAGGTGTTTGAAATACAATGTTAAAAAATACTAATTAATATTAAGTTTTTTCATTACATAAAAGTAAATTGAGTTTAAGAATTCTAATATGTTGCTTTTGATAAAAATACTACAAAAATATGATTGAAATTGTCTGATATGATTCCTAATACAGTCGGAGACATAATTTTAAAATCACATTGCAATTGCAGTTCGATAACCGCATCCGCAATATTGTGGATGCAATTGCGGTTGCGTACCGCAATTTAAAACCATCGGTTGAGGTGCTGTATAAATTGTTTGTTGAAGAAAATCTGCTATGCTACATTTGTTGGAATCTGCTTTGTTTTGACAAATGTAGGTCTGTTAAGTTTTAGCAGTGTATATTTGTGGTATATACTTAACAATGTCAATAAAATCCTAAATTAATTGCAAAACCCCACATAAAGGAGATCCATTATGGTCCCTTTAATACACTTGTTCATGTTCCAAATGAGAATGGCTAGACATAGTTTCACCACACTACTAATAGGAGGGGAGACCCAACATGATGTAGATTATAGATCAATTTAATTTCCTCCCAATAAGTTTCCATTATATTCCAAGTCCTTGGAATGTCAACAACAAAAAGTTGGACCCTTTTAACCCTACTCAAACAAGGAGGATACACCTATCTAACAACAACTCATTTCATTCTCACTTGGACCACCTATTTATGAGTACACAAACTATTATGTTACCATGTAGCTGCATTTTTCTTGTTAGGATGACAAAAATACCATATCCACAAAAGTTTGTGCGGATTAATCACATATCCGTTGAATGAGGTTGGAGATCATATTTGAAGTCCTATAGTAAATATCTGCATTGTATTAATACGAGTACGTATGACTTTTTTAGAAAAATTAAGGTATGGATACGTTAATATAATCTTTTTAAATACAATTATAAAAATAACAAAGTAGTTTTATTATTTAAATAATAACATTAAAATTAAAAATTAATTTGTTTTAGAAAAATTAATATCTATTTAATAACATAAATAAATCACACTTAAAAAATATCAATAAATCATAAAATTATGATTGAATATCAATATTTTTCTCTTCAATATCATTAAAAAGAGTGACTTCTAATTTAAGTACATCGAAAAAAAGACTAGCAACTTCAAGAATACCAACTCTATCACGTAGATTTCATTCATCTCCACCAATATTTCATATTTTTGTTGCTCATTCGTTATAAACCTTACTATTTCTCGAGAGAAGTATTAGTATTTTATCTAAAACGGAGTACCCGAGCTCGGTGAGCGGTTAAAATTAAAACTTAAAACACATAAACTAATTCATTATTAAAATCTAAAAGTAAAATAAATAGTCATGTCTAGTTCCCTGTACTGGTGTTCAGGTGTGGGATCAGTGAGAGTGAGAGATGAAGCCAGTGTTATATATACGTGGTCTCTATTTCATACAATAATAATGCTTGTTGGAGGTTTTGTCCTCAGTCACTATTTCACAATGTCAATTTCTTTAACGTGGAAGTTCTCACAACCACACCATAACACCCCTCCAAACTTTCTTCACCATCATGCCCAATTGTCATTTTTCAAATTATTTAATTTTGACACTGATATTTACGTGCCACGCCAAATACTTTCTAGCCTCACAATTCTTCATACCTTACCTCTTCACCTTTTTTATTCAACTTCCGAATGTGAAAATATTTTTGGTTAATATATATGTTAAATTTTTTGTAAGTAAAAAAACATAGGGTGCTTGTGTGTGTATATATAAAAGGAAATAAAACGTTTTGTCTTGCCATAGTATGTAATAAATTTTTACTATATTAAGTTGATTGAAGATAATAATAGTACATACACTGTACACATGCACAGTGAGCTGTTGTATTTATTATGTGATCCTTGAACGTTATCCTTTCTGTCTATACTCTCTGCACTGAAATCAAAGCTAAAAGACTAATCATAACACAATCCTATACCACTAAACTCAGACACAATACTCTTTCATTTTCACCCTTTCCTACCTTCCTCATGTGGCTAACTTAAGTATATTAATCTCTTGCATTTAAGTAACTCTCTTTTTGTGACTTTTCATGACTTTTCATGTTCAATGATCATTTCAATTTTTATCATCTAACATAAATTTTTTGATAGATCATAGTTGATACTGGATAGTTATTCAACTAGTTCATGGAGAAAAATGGAAATTCCTCTGGTAACAGTAAAGAATCTGTGAACAAATGGATGGCATTTGCTAACAAAAATGATGAAAACTCAGCAGCAAAGAAGGCTCCTTCTGGTGGTGATGATGATGATCAAATTCTAACCGAAGCGGCCATAGCCGAGAGGACGGCGGAATGGGGACTTGTTGTGAACACGAGCAATTTCAAAGCAGGAATTGAGACATCAAGTTCTTCAATTGATGGAAGAAGCATGTCGGATAGGTTCGTTGAATCGACGAGGACTTCGGGTGAATCGAATTCTGCGTCGGAGGCTAAGTTGTCAGGGTTGATTCCAAGAGTTTCACAGGACTTGAAAGAAGCATTGGCTACACTTCAACAAACATTTGTTGTGTCAGATGCAACTAAACCTGATTGTCCTATTTTGTATGCAAGCAGTGGTTTTTTTACTATGACTGGTTACTCTTCAAAAGAGGTTATTGGAAGGAATTGGTAAGCATTTTTCCGCACTTCGGCTTTATACATAAAAAGGAATGTTTTTAAGTTGCGTTCGCGGATGCAGTTAGGTTAGAGTCCTTGATATTGTGAAAAAATAAAGGCCAATTCAGTTTATGCGGCCGGAATTGCTGTTAACTATGATAGCATGATATATGTTTCTTTAGCGTCGGAGTGTTAATCTTTGTAGGTATATGTAGCTAGAAAATGTCGTGAATTAAATTGCGGTTGCAGATACAATTAGGTAAGAATCCTTAATATTGTGAAAAATTACGTAGAGATTCTAATGATGCGGTCGAAATTGCAGTCAACTATGAGTTTTTGTAGGTATATATAGCTAGAAATTTTTTAATTTAAGAAGCCAAATTCTTGTTGCAGCCGATTTCTTCAAGGACCTGAAACTGACATGAATGAAGTAGCGAAAATTCGGGATGCAACTAAGAATGGGAGAAGCTATTGCGGCAGGCTTTTAAACTACAAGAAAAATGGGACACCATTTTGGAATCTTCTAACTGTCACACCAATCAAAGATGATCATGGCAATACTATCAAATTCATAGGGTCAGTCCTGCTTTTCCTATGATGTATTAGAATTTTACAACTTTAAGTATAACAACATTTTATCAGAAGAATCCAATTCGAGCAACGTGAACATTAGTTATGTATCAATGTATTAAAAGATCTTACTATAATAGTAATAATTGGTTAACACAGATATTACATATTACTACTACAGAATGCAGGTTGAGGTGAGCAAGTACACGGAAGGTGTGAATGAGAAGGAACTAAGACCAAATGGATTACCAAAATCATTAATTCGCTACGACGGTAATACAAACTATTGAGCCATTTTTTTTAGAGTTTGTGTGATGACTCTGACTTCACATGTACTCATGGAATTTCTCATTTGCCAGCTCGTCAAAAGGAGAAAGCTATGGGTTCAATCACTGAGGTAATTCAAACTGTTAAGGATCCTAAATCAATTATTCGCGGTAAGAACGATGACACTTCCACCACATTGCATGAAGAGCAAGAGAATCTCAATCATGAGTTTGCTTTGCCAAAGTCTGTTGAATCTGTGAATGCTGGTACACCACTTGGTAGACACACTCCATCGAACTTCCTTGGTGATAGTAATAACATTTCGCGCTTTAGTTCTTACGAAGAAAGGAACAAGTCGTCAAGAAAATCAGCAGTTTCTTTGAAAGGGTATTTTGTTAATTTACTTACTCTCTAAATTTGATTCAAAAGATAACTATTTCGAAAGCTTTCAATAATATTTGCTTTCTATTTTATTGCAGTAATAAAGGGAAATCAATGAGTTCTCTAGGGAGAGATAAGGAGAAGGCTATTATTGAACCTGAAGTTCTGATGACAAAGGAAGTAGAATGGTCCAATTGGGAACTAGGAGAAAGGGATATCAGACAAGGAATTGATTTAGCAACTACATTGGAAAGGATAGAAAAGAATTTTGTGATTTCTGATCCTAGACTTCCAGATTGTCCTATAGTAAGATTAATTAACGTTCTGTTAAATTTTTTTTCCGAGCAATTCGTGCTATCTTTCCTTGAAATGATGATTGCTTGTCTTAGAAGTATACATTATCATCTTCTTTTTTTCACCTAATACATATTAAACTTGTAAGTTTAACTTACATTCACAAAAGATGATAGATATCATGCGTGTATAAAGTTTGAAACTTGTTATGTGTGCTGATATCATACCTTATAGTGATTATTGTTGGTTTCTTTGCAGATATTTGCGTCAGATAGCTTTCTTGAGCTTACAGAATACACGCGAGAAGAAATTTTAGGTCGAAACTGCCGGTATGAATTTTACCATATCTTCGTACACAATTTACTATATCTATCCCTTGCAAGTAGTGTATTTTTTTTTATCATTCAAAAGTTCTTGTTAATATAAAGAACGTGAATGCATGTCTCTTGGACAGTTTCATTTAGATTTACATCTACTTCACATATTTTGCAGGTTTCTTCAAGGACCAGAAACAGACCAGGCAACTGTCTCTAGGATTAGAGATGCTATCAGAGATCAGAGGGAAATCACAGTTCAGTTGATCAATTATACTAAGAGCGGTAAGTAATTAGTCAAAATGAGATCGTAATCTAGCACCCTTTCGCTTTACTTTGTTTTTCACAAGATGAACGTTTATGGTTTTATAACTTGTAGGAAAGAAATTCTGGAATCTGTTTCACTTGCAGCCTATGCGTGACCAAAAGGTGATTGAAATGCTCTATTATTCTCCTAGAAAACAATTAATTTGTATCATGAAAAGTTAACAATTTCTGTGTGTAGGGTGAACTTCAATACTTCATTGGTGTTCAACTAGATGGAAGTGACCATTTAGAGCCTTTAAGAAACCGCCTCTCTGAGGGTTCTGAGCTTCAAAGTGCTAAATTGGTGAGTGTTTGAAATCTCTTTCTTCTTATTATCTTTATTATTAAACACAAATGACACTTACCTTAATTACCATTGTTACATGATTTGAATACAATGTATCATGATGATACTACTCACATGCTTTCGAATATTCTCCTTTTAGGTGAAAGCCACTGCAGAAAATGTTGATGAAGCTGTTAGAGAACTTCCTGATGCCAATTTGGTAAGGTATTCCTTTTGGGATATAAATAAGTAAACTAGTATTGTTTCATATTTGTATGTAAGAAAATAAAGATCGATTATCATTGATTTTGTACTTTTATGGATATAGAGACCAGAAGATTTGTGGGCAATTCATTCTCAAGAAGTTCTTCCAAGACCACACAAACGGGACAATCCTTCTTGGGTAGCTATTCAAAAGGTATCAACTTATTTGTTTCACTTCCTTTGTGGTGAATGAAATTTATACAAATAATGTATATTTCCTTTTTCTAGATAACCGCAAGAGGCGAGAAAATTGGCCTTCATCATTTTTCTCCCATTAGGCCTTTGGGTTGTGGAGATACTGGCAGGTATTAATACCTTTCAGTTAACATGGAAACCAGAAGAGAATGACGGTTTCCTTTCCACATTATTTTCATGGTGTCATTCTGTTTTGTGTTACAGTGTTCATTTAGTGGAACTTCGAGGTACCAACGAATTATATGCAATGAAAGCAATGGAAAAGTCTGTAATGCTAAATCGTAATAAGGTGTGGATATTTCTAAGAAAGTTAGATTAGTTTTCTTTTTAATAGGATTTCTGCATGTTGAAAATCGCCTTATTATATATTGATATTCGAATGGGATGGCGTAATTGTTTTATCTCATTATTATATTTACCTAGAATACATTTCTCTGGTTTTATAACAGGTTCATCGAGCGTGCATTGAAAGAGAGATTATATCATTACTAGATCATCCTTTTCTTCCAACACTATACACCTCATTTCAGGTTCACTCAAAGCAATCTTCATTTAACTAAATAAAATGCCTCAAATTATAATGGCAGTGTCTATTGAGTATTGGCCATTAACCAACTGTTGTGATATTTTCTTTCTTTTTACAGACAGAAACACATGTATGTTTGATTACTGACTTCTGCCCTGGGGGTGAGTTGTTCGCGTTACTCGACAGGCAACCCATGAAGATTTTAAAAGAAGATTCAGCAAGGTATTTTTAGTTATAGCTATATGTTTTGATAGGTTTCCTGTATTATATATTCATATTACAGGCCCTAACAATTTTTGTTCACCTTTGTATGTATCCAGATTCTATGCAGCAGAGGTTGTTATCGGTTTGGAATATCTCCATTGTTTGGGTACGCCGCTCATTATATCATCCATTTATCTGTTCACCTTAAGGATTAGTTTTAGTATCAATTACTAATATTCTTTGAGGATGATGAATTAATAACATTAGTATCTGAATATTGAATCTGTCTAGGTATAGTTTATCGTGACTTAAAGCCCGAAAATCTCTTGCTCCAGAAGGATGGCCATGTTGTATTAACTGATTTCGATCTATCATTTATTACATCTTGTAAACCCCAGGTATGTGTCCTTGTTTTATATAAGCATAATAGCCGCTATAGCACTGAAGCGCAGCGGAATTTGAACAAACAAACTTCTATTTTCTGCGATTAACAACGCTGATTTATATATGGAAAAACTTTGTACTAGATTGCGTGTTGCAGAACAAGAGCCTTTTGTTTAGATTCTATGCTATAGCCGCTATTTGACAACACTGATGTAAATTGTTTATATAAATATTTACTGGTTCAGGTTATGAAGCAGTCAATACCTGGTAATAGAAGCAGTAGAAGATCTCGAAGTCAGCCACCGCCGATATTTTTTGCAGAGCCAGTTACACAATCGAACTCATTTGTTGGAACTGAAGAATATATTTCCCCGGTATGATGCATTTCTATTCTTCTTCATACACCGCAACATTTGTGTTATCATCATTATCATCATTTAAGGTTTTTAAGGTACTTGATATCAGGAAATCATAACCGGAGCGAGGCATACAAGTGCTATCGACTGGTGGACCCTCGGTGAGCATTTTCTCGTATGTAACTAAAGGAACTTTCTTATTAGCTAGTATTCACAATTTGTTTATCGTGTCGTGAAAATAGGTATCCTGTTGTACGAGATGCTATACGGACGTACACCATTTAGAGGAAAGAACAGGCAGAAGACATTTTCCAACATCTTACACAAGGATCTTACCTTTCCAAGCAGCATCCCGGTATATTAACGATCTTTTCCACTGATATATCAATTGCAGATGTATATTGTTACAGTTCTCGCAGTTATTGTCGTGATCAAGCATCAACTGATACAGTTTGACATGTTTTTCAGGCTAGTCTTGCAGCCAGGCAGATTATTAATGCACTATTGCAAAGAGACCCGGGCAGTCGTCTAGGTTCAACTACAGGAGCGAACGAAATCAAACAACATCCTTTTTTCCGTGGAATCAATTGGCCTTTAATCCGCAACATGGTAGTACTCTTAAAGCTAGTGATTAGAAACATCATCATCATTTTTAACCATTTGGAATTATCTGTTTCTTGCAGAGTCCACCACCTTTAGATGTTCCTCCTCAATTTATAGGAAAAGATCCAGCCTTAAAAGGCAAGAAATGGGAAGATGATGGTGTGCTAACTAGTTCCATTGATATGGATATTTTTTGAAGCTCAACAACACATATTCCTCACAATAGGATGTTTTCTTAGCATCATGCCTCACTCATCATGCTTCAAAACATCACTATGACTGAGACATTCAAGTTCAAGAGCTTTATCTATGGATTCAGTTATTCTGAACTGGAAATCAACAACTTGGAAACCAAATATATTGCATAGGATCGGCATAAAAGTATCATTATCATGTACATTGAATAAAACCAGAGATGTTTTACTGTTTGAGACATGCTTCGCAGTTTTTGGTCATGAACGATACATTGATAGTGTATTTTTGTAAATGGCTTAAAATCGCAATTGACCGTAGCGCGGAGAGAACTATATATAGCATGTAAAGCATATGTTATATTATTATCAAAGGTATGTTGAGCATCTGTCAATCTACACCAATGCATATGGAAGAAACTCAGTCATTGATTCAAGTTTTTGTTTATATCATATTATTATTGTAGATGGTTCTCGTACTCGAGTTGATAGTTGTAAAAATATTATTATTCAATCTTTTAAATTGAAACAAGTGTTTCACCTTCTCACTCTATCGAACGAACAACCTTATCTCTATTTATAAGCTTATAGAGGATAGTAATTGTGCAGATTTCGTTCATATCTTTCTCTCTTGTTTTAACCCTTCATCAAACGCAATCACCAGAAGAAATGAAGTGGCACTGCCATGTATTTTTTTAATTCCACATGTTTTTTCCATTGTAATATATTTTCTAAACAATTCAAAATTTAAACATTCAAAATAACCACCAGCATTTGAACAGAGGTGATGAAGGTCAAAGGCAAAGCAATTAATTGTAGTTGCAAGTCCCTAATTGATTCATGATAAGTATTTATGTTCGATTATTTTGTTGCTTGTCTTATCGTTTTTATCTTTGATTTAATTTCGATTTGTTGAGTCTTCTTCATGATTGTACTTCTCAGAATCAAGTTTTAAAAGATTTGTTTTTAGCATGCATAAATCATTGGTTATGTTTGATCTTGATCATGATGTTTTTTCATCAATTGAGTAAGTGGAATGAAAAACCTTTTATATTTTTTATTTGAGTTTGATTCAAAGTAAAATCTCAAAGTGTTTTTAAAATTATGAAAATTTCAGATTTTATGTGTTTGATTCGAATCATGAAAATCAAACGCACTTTATGATTCAAATCAAATTGAATAAAGACAAAACTGAAATTTTCATACTATTTGATTTAAAATATTTTTTACACATGATTCGAATCAATTTCTTGATGTTCACCTCTGCTAGATTTGATTAAAATCAAATTTTGAACATGATTCGAATCACACACTTTTCAACATTTTTCCGTTGGGCCTGATGCATTTGATCTGAATCATTTTTTGTACATTATTCGAATCATAAGATCCATGATTCAAAGCACACTTTTCTCATGATTCGAATCAACGGCCAAATGTTCAAAATTCTGTTTTTTTTTATTCCACTTCACTTGTTCATTTGATTCAAATCCCGAATTGTTCTTGATTTGAATCTAACTGACTTTTCAACCATTTTATGTGCTTAATCTCAAGCAAATATAAAATCTTTTTGTTATCATTTATCACACAACATCTTATCATTCTTATCATTCTGATCATATTCTTCGGTGTGATTTAGTAAAAACAATCAATTTCCTCTATTTTGAAAGTTTAAAGTCTTGCATCTTTAACTTCAATTTGATTTATATCTTGAAAACGAGATATTTGTAATTAATTGAAGGAGACACGTACTTGAAACTAATTGTTCTTGGAGATTTGATTGAGTTTTTATGATTTTTTTGCATGATTGAGGTAATTGTCATTGGTGGTGATAAATTCCATTGAAAAGAAATAGATTTTTCTCTCCAGAATTGCCTTAGTAGTGATTGTATGGAAGACTACGCATAAGGCGAAGTTCTTCTAAAATCTTCGAATAATTCATAGCTCATGGAATCAATAGGATGAAGGGGTTGATTGCTATACACGAAGGCTTGAAGCAGATTTATGATATTGGAAGACTCAAAAAACATAATTCGAGTATAGATTACCTAGAAGAGTTTGACAGTGTGTTGTATACAAGTCAAGATCCAAATAGAAGATTTTAATCTTTCTCAGCTTTATTGTGGATTGCCGATTGTATGAACTCTTGCAAATATTTGTCAAATAACACGAAACTATGCATGTTCCAATGGAAAGCCATTGAAAAGGGCACGTGGGCAATGCGAGGACAAACGCCAAATCACTATAAATCCCGGTGTCATCTCTCTCTTTCTCTCACTCACTCTTGCATTTAATTTCGTAATATTTGCATGCTCAGGTTTTTTAGTTCTATCTTAGTTTATCATTTATTCATTGGTAGTGATTTATTACATAAGCATTAGGTTTTTTTTTGGAATTGGATAACTTGTTAAGTTAGATTGGTGATTGATATTCTATGAAACAAATTGACATTAGAACTCTTCACATTTAATTGTTGTGCAAACATTTCTTGTGAATTACACGATTAAATCAATCAATATCTAATGTTTCACCATATTCATCTTTGGTGTTTGTGAAACGATCTAGTGTTAACTTGATCAATATTTGAATAGTATAATTTTCACATTTTCGCATCACACCTTCCGCCCGCAATTATTTTTAAAAACACTCTGATTTTGTAAACGACAGTTGAATTTTAAATTGAATCTATTCACCCCACCTATAGACCGTTTTTCTACTTCCATATTCACACCCAACATCAACCACTTGACCATTCAATTCTACCATTAATATATTACCATGTTAAATACATAAACCATTTAAGTTTCATCAACAACACATAAACTTGAATTTTCATCATGGAGTTTCATCACCATCAACAACACAACAACTCCATCATTTCCATCATCATCACAACAACACAACAACACATAAATTATGAATTATTCTCTTTTTAATCATCATCATATCACATGTGAGATGTAGGATCGAACTCTAGTATGGTCGAAGTCTGTTCGCGAGTAATGCGTGTTGTAGTCGAAGTTTGTTCTAACATGCATTAGTCAATATTGCTAGGGTTGTTAGCATGTTGAATTGGACCTTGCTTGTAAACCCAATTGTTTAAGTTAGCTTGTACCCTAAGTTAGCTTGTAATGGGTAATTGTTAAAAAGCCCATTAGGTTAGTGTGTTATTTTTCTTATAAATAGGATACTAGTTTCTCAATCTTGTCATAAGAAAAAATAGGAAGATAAAATCCTAATATCAAAAGAGAGAGGTTATTTTGTTATTCTTGTATACTTGTAATCTTGTTCTAACAGAAAGGAAAGAATAAAAGTTTAATAACCAATCCTTGTTATTTTCTTCTTTATTAACCCTAACCCTTGCGTGTTTCTTGATCATTAAGAAACTGTTTATACTTAGTTTTAACGTATCTGATTCACAACAAATTGGTGCGGTGAGCGTGGAGAAGATGCCTTCAACAAAGTATGAGATTGAAAAGTTCACCGAAGTGAACGACTTCGGTCTGTGGCGCTTGAAGATGAAATCCCTATTGGTTCAGTAGGGTTGTTTGGAAGCGTTGAAGGGTGAGGCAGCCATGGACATTGCGTTAACGGCAAAAGAAAAGACGGGCATGATCGAGAAAACCCACAGCGCAATATTGTTGAGCCTTTGTGATAAGGTTCTTCGACAGGTATCAAAAGAGACTACAGCATCGGAATTACGGGTGAAACTTGAAAGTTTGTACATGACCAAATCTCTGGTGAATCGACTCTACCTGAAGCAAGCTTTATATTCATTCAAGATGAGTGAAGACAAAGTGTCGACTAAGCAGTTGGATATGTTCAACAAGCTGATTCTTGATCTTGAAAATATTGATGTGAAGATCGATGATGAAGATCAAGCACTGTTGCTGCTGTGTGCTTTGCCCAAAACACATGCTCACTTCAAAGAAACTCTCTTGTATGGAAGGGAATCCCTGATCTTTGAAGAAGTTCAATCAGCCTTGTATTATAAGGACTTGAACAAACGAAAGGAGCATAAACCTTCGACGGTGGGCGAAGGTTTGGCCGTTAAGGTAAAATTCTTACGAAAGGATGGTAAGTTCGACAAGAAGAAAGGTAAAAGTCAACGGAAGTCTTATAGTGGCGAAACATCTAGTATTCGATGTTATCACTGTAAGAAGGAGGGTCACATAAGAAAGGTATGCCCTGAACGCCTGAAAGATCATGGAGGTAATGACAATGCAGCCATTATTCAAGATGACTTCAACTCATCTGATGTTCTTGTGGTTTCAAGTGGCGACTCGAGGAAAGAGTGGATTATGGATTCAGGTTGCACTTGGCACATGACTCCAAACAGATAATTGTTTGAGGAGCTATGTGATCAAGATGGTGGATATGTGCTGCTGGGAAACAACAAATCTTGCAAAAGTGTAGATATTAGATCTGTGAGATTCAAGCTCCATGATAAGTCAATAAGGTAATTGACTGAAGTCAGGTACGTACCTGACTTGAAGAGAAATTTGATTTCTCTTGGTGAATTTGACAGAAAAGGATACGTTTTTCAAGGAGAGAAAAGTATCCTAAGAGTCATGAAGGGGTCGAAGAAAGTCTTGAGAGGCGTGAAGAAACAAGGCTTGTATACCCTTGAGGCTGAGGTTGTAAGTGGTTCGACAAATGTTGCATCCACGAAACCTATGTTGAAGACAGAATTATGGCACATGAGATTGGGCCATGTCAGCGAAAGAGGTCTGGTCGAATTAGGGAAGCAGAACCTGCTAGGAGGTGACAAAGTCGAAAAGTTGGAATTTTGTGAATCGTGTGTATTTGGTAAATCCTGTAGGGCGAAGTTTAACAAAGGCAAGCAAAGAACACATGGATCCCTGGATTACATTCATGCTGATCTTTGGGGGCCTGCAAGGAATCCTTCACACTCAGGTGCAAGGTATTTTCTATCCATCGTTGATGACTATTCCAGAAAGCTATGGGTATTCATTCAGAAGACGAAGGATGAAACTTTTGAGAATTTCAAAAGTTGGAAGATTCTGGTTGAAACTCAAATTGGCATAAAGGTTAAGAGGTTGAGAACCGACAATGGCCTTGAATTCTGCAATGAAGCGTTTAACAGTTACTGTGTTGAGTATGGGATTGCAAGGCATAAGACTGTAGCAGATACTCCTCAACAAAATGGCTTAGCTGAGAGATTCAATCGAACAATCCTTGAAATGGTTAGATGCATGTTGGTTAGTGCTGGATTGAAGAAGGTGTTTTGGGTGGAAGCTGTTTCGACAGCAGCTTACCTGATATATAGATGTCCCTCGACTGCCTTGGAAATGAAGACACCTGAAGAAGTTTGGTCAGGACATCTACCTAGTCTCGACAGACTGAGAGTATTTGGCTGTGCGGTATATGCTCATATTAGGCAAGACAAGGTCGAACCTAGAGCTCTGAAATGCATGTTCATGGGATACCCTAAAGGAGTCAAAGCTTATAGGCTATGGCGCCTAGAGCCAGGTCACAGGAGGCGTGTCACCAGTCGAGATGTAGTTTTCAATGAAGCAGAGATGGCTTTCACGAAAACTGATGATGCTGACGAAGTGCTGGAACATGGAGAGATTCCTGTTGAGGTGGAGCATGTTGATGCTGAATTGCTTACCCCAGATGAAGTCGAATAAGACGCAAAATATGTTGTCGAAGATGAGGAAACTGATAATGACTACCTGCTAGCAAGAGATAGGTCGAGGAGAGTTATCAAGCCACCTCAGAGACTTGGGTATGCAGATCTTATAGCTTATGCCTTAATCTCTGCTAGTGAGGTTCTAGATGAAGAACTTAGAGACTATAAAGAAGTTATGAGGAGTCGAAAGAAGACTGAATGGATGAAAGCCATGGATGATGAGATGAAATCTCTTCATGATAACAACACTTAGGAACTGATCAAGAAACCTGCTGGAGCCGTTAGTCAGCTGTAAATGGATTTTCAAAGTTAAGGAAGGAATCAAAGGAGTGGCGTCGAAGAGATACAAGGCAAGATTGGTTGCTAGGGGTTCACTCAGAAAGAAGGTATCAACTTCAATGATGTGTTCTCTCTTGTTGTGAAGCACAAATCCATTCGAATGTTGCTTGCCATGGTGGCCCAGTTCGACCTTGAACTGGAACAGATGGATGTGAAGACTGCGTTCTTGTATGGTGATCTAGATGAAACAATCCTGATGAGGCAACCTGAAGGGTATGTCGAAAGGGGGAAGGAAGATTATGTGTGCAAACTGAATAGATCTTTATATAGACTGAAACAATCTCCTCGACGGTGAAATATAAGATTCGACAAGTTCATGGCACACATAAGTTTCATCAGAAGTCAGTTCGACCACTGTGTTTACTTCAGATTTCGACCGGATAATTCATTTTTTATTTTGTTGCTCTATGTGGATGATATTCTAATAGCAAGCAACAATGTCGAAGAGGTAATGAGGGTGAAGACTGAACTCAATAAAGAGTTCGACATGAAGGATCTGGGAGCTGCGTTCAGGATTCTTGGGATTGACATCCGAAGAGATAGAAAGCAGTCGAAATTATGCTTATCTCACGAGGTATACCTACAGAAGGTTCTCGAAAAGTTTGGTATGTCGAATTCAAAGCCTGTTGTGATTCTGACAAACCCTCAATTCAAGTTGAGTATAGATCAGTGTCCCAACACTGATGTTGAAAGAACTTATATGAATAGCATTCCATATGCTAACATAGTAGGTTCTTTGATGTATGATATGGTCCGTACTAGACCCGACATAGCATATGCAGTAAGTCTTGTAAGCAGGTACATGGCGAATCCTGGAAAGGCTCACTAGCAAGCATTGAAGTGAATTTTAAGGTACATAAATGAGTCTCTGAATATAGTCCTAATTTATGGTGGATCCTTGGGTGAAGATAGTAAAGCAGCAATCGAAGTATATGTCGACTCTGATTATGCAGGTTGTATGGATTCTAGAAAATCTATCTCTGGATATGTGTTCACTATGTTTGGGACAACAATCAGTTGGAAAGCAACACTTCAAAATATTGTTGCCTTATCAACCACTGAAGCGGAGTATATTGACCTAACTGAAGTTGTGAAGGAAGTATTGTGGCTTGAAGGTTTTGCAAAGGAGGTAAAACTTCAAGGTCGAGTTATCACTGTTAAATGTGATAGTCAAAGTGCAATACACCTGTCGAAGAATTCATCCTATCATGAGCGAATCAAGCACGTTGATGTGAGGCTGCATTTCATCAGAGGGGTAATCGAGCGTGGAGAAGTCCAAGTGCTGAAGGTTTCGACAGATCATAATGCTGCTGATATGATCACCAAGACGTTGCCCAGTTGCAAGTTTTTCCACTGTATGCAGTTAATAAAGTTGCATGAAGAAAGCTAGTTTCTTGATGTTATAGAGTTAGATCTAAGTTTACGTGTTGTTGTGTTATTGATAATGATGAAACTTAAATGATTTTTGTATTTAACATGACAATATATTAACAATAGAATTGTGGAATATTATTAGATAGACACAAACATAACACGTAGTTTTACAAACAATCAATAATAACTTTTTATTAATTAAAAATTAAAAATAAATTTTCTCTCTCCGTCGTTATCGCAACCACTCCATTATTTCAATTAAAAAATAAATTATATTTTAAATAAATTTAAAATTTTCTCTCTTCTTATTGTTTCTAATTGTTTCTAAGAATATGGATATATGTGCCTTTCTATTCAAATATTTCTCTAGAATTGAATGGTCAATTGGTTGATTGTCTTGTCTTGCCTTTAACCTTTGACAACATTTGTGTTTGAATTCTATTGGTGGTCATTTTGATAATTTTGAATTGTTTAGAAAAAATATTAAAATGAAAAAAAGCATACTTGGCATTAAAAAAATAGAAAATAAAAGTCATGTTAATTAAAAGTCATTTAAAAAATCACATGACACTGTCGCCTCATTTTTTCTAGTGATTGGGTTTGACGAGGGGTGAAACAGAGAAATCTTTATAAATCAATGACGTTGCAAGACGATTGAATTTGCTAAGGAACATGGAGGATTAAACTATCTCTCTAATTACAGTCAAAATCATCTTCCGTCTCTCAAATATGGCTTTGACACAAGCGTCTTGTTCATCCTTCCTTTCCATTAATGAAGTGTATTGTTTTCATTCCTATTTTCAAAACAATCTATCGAGTCTTTTAAAGTGATTTACTTGACACACATTAAGTCGGATTTGGCATATGCAATCAATGTGGTGAGTTAATTCATGCATGATTCGAGGGTGAGGCACTTGCAGGCGGTTAATCGTGTTCTACAATATCTCAAAACGACTCCAATAAGATGACTCTTGTTTTAAAGAGGTGAAAATCTAACTGTGAAGGCTTGCAATAATGTTGATTATGCATGTTTATTGATTTATAGAAGATCTACTTCAGACTATTGTGCAATTAAATAGAAGAAAACACACACCATTTTGATTAGAAATCATCACAAAATAGAATTATGCAACTTCATGCATGCTACAAAAAGACATAATTAATAACATTAACTTAGAAGCAATGTGATGGTAATGTATATACTTTTTTTGCTGCTAAATGCTATCTTAGAAATTTCAAAAAACATTCCATGAATATTACATATCTGAGAAGAGAAATTCTGTATTGACAGAATGCCATCTTTGCAAGAAAAACAAAGGCAGTAGTACTATTGCACTAAAACATGAAGAATTCCATTACAAACATCAAGAGTTCCAATCTCAGAAACACTTGTAAAACTTAGTTAAAAGAGCTAGCCCCATTAAAAAGACCGGGATCAATGCTCATCTCTCTCTGTATCATCATCATCATCATCATCCTTAAAACTCTATTCCTACCAACTTTCAAATTTTTTTTACTGTACAATCATCTTCTCTTAACAAACACCATATTTTACCAATTAAACTTAAAATTTCTAACACATCACTAGTAGTTGTTATAAAACCATTTAGTAATGAAATCCATTTCCATTGCCATATACATATTCTGGCCTAAAAGCTTGTGGTTTTGTTGCTGATCCATTTTGATATGTTTTGCCTGATGAAATATTATCACTGCTTACTCCCCTTGCAGAATGTTGTAAAACAGCTTCAAGTTGTCCACACGCGGCTGCTATAAACCCTGTCGTGTTTTCACGTCATCATAAGTTAGCATGTCTCAGAATCTTTAACTCAACATGGAATTAAAATGTAGAGACATGTAGCATAGAAATACCTAAGAACACTGGAGAAGGCTTTCCTGGTCTTGATTTGAACTCCGGATGGAATTGGACACCGACAAAATAAGGATGATTCGGTATCTCAACAATCTGTAACATGAAACATCGCAAAATTTCATCTTTACATCATATATATGTTTATGTTAATATAAAAAGTTACATGAGAATATCTTTAGTACCTCCATGCGTTGACCAGTTTCATCCTTTCCGGTAAAGGAAAGACCGGAATTTTCAAGGCTAGTTACCAAATCAGGGTTCACCTCATATCTATGCCGATGTCTCTCATCAATGAAGCTTTTGCCGCCATACCTAAGAGGCAGGGTCTATGTGTTAGAAACTTAATAAATTTCAGTCATCGGGGTAAGCACAAAGAAACATGTCCTCAAAAAACTCAGTCAAGTAATGACACTCACAGTTTTGCAGATTTGCATAACTTAGTTTGGAAATATGTCCTCCTCGATCCAAGGCGCATGGTGCCTCCCATATGTGTTTTCGATCCCTACACAAAACAGTTCAAACAAATCACAAATAGAGAAAAAAATGACATGCTTTTTAGCATTAGAATGAAATAAACTAATGTAGATAGATACCTCAGGCATAAATATGACGCATGGACTTTTGGTATTTGGATCAAATTCAGTACTATTAGCATCTTTTAAACCAAGCACGGATCGCGCAAATTCTATGACAGCAACTTGCATTCCAAGACAAATGCCAAGGTACGGAATTCTGTTTTCTCGAGCATATTTAGCTGCGATAATTTTTCCTTGCACTCCTCTATCACCGAAGCCTCCAGGAACAAGAATACCATCAGCACCCTTTAATAACTTCCATGATGCCTTATAAACATCAGGATTCTGCAACGTTGTTAAATAAGAACAAAATTATAAAGATGCTATAATGAAGAATAATTAATAGTTGATAAATTTTTCTTGTTACATAATGATTCAAAAATTGGTGTAACCTCTTTAGCAGTCGCGTTTTCGAGGTTTGTAGCTGAAATCCAGTCCACAACAAGTTTCTTTTGGCAACTAACAGAAGCATGAACTAAGGCCTGAAATTAATATTAGATGTATCAACATATGTAAATAACAAAACAAAAAAAAACACAAGCACGTGTACTTCATGAAGGAGACCGAAATTTGCGAGTAAGCATGTTAGGAAGTTAGGCCCAGAGAAAAGCCAAAAAAAATCAGGAAGCCATAAGATTAGTGCAGTAATAAAGTTAAAGCTAACTCCACCTTTAGAACTGAGAGGTAGGAATCTGAAAGGCAAGTATATTTCCCGACTAACGCTATACGAACCTACAATTTTCAAGAAATAAAAATATAACTCTTTCCAATAATCAATGATAGTAATATAATTAAGAATGGCTTTTGACTACTCACTGGTTCATGAAGTAAATCAGAAGATTCAGCTCTACAAGTCCATTCCTCTAAATTGGGCTCTTGAGCGATACTGCATATACAATAAACCAACACTTCAGCCTTTCAAAAAAATAAGAGATAAAATTGTTGATGTTCATCTAGTCCATGAAATAGAACAAATAAAGTGGGAGCCAGTGAGACTAACCCTGTAAGATTCAGCACTTTAAATATTGCTTCATGAGCCTTTTGATCCTATAGACAAGAAGAAGATAATTTGTAAGAAAAGGTACCTACAAATTATAAGATGACTTTGTAGTTCAGAAGTTTTGGAGGAAAACTTACTCTTAAAAGCAAAGGAATGTGCCATATGTTGGGAACATCGTAAAGAGTGATTATATTTTCCCCCTGAAAACATCATGCAACTTCAGTAGAGAAAGAAAACTCTAACCAGAATTCATTTGAAGTCATATACATCAAATTATATTTATCATTTACAAAAATATACCGGAAGTAGACAAAATTGAGAGAGCTTCGTCTTTGCATTCTCATCTAGTGCCTGAGGGAAAAAAATTGAATTTTAGAATCTTAAATTAAAAAGTTACTGTCAAGAATAGTATGATTTCATTGCAGTTATGGTCCGTTTGTGCATATATTATTATGCTAGGAATCACCGACATGTAGACACCAGTAATAATTTCAAAAAATAAAAGAGAACAATTGTGCCTTGTGTGTTGTTTTGTGCACACATGTTCATGGGAGGAGGAAAAGAAAGAGAGAATAACCATTGTGCTGCGGCATGCCAAGATTTGAGGAGTCAGCCCTTGGCTTCTAAGTCCTCTCACACTATGTTGTGTTGGTTTTGTTTTCTGAACACAACAAAAGGTTACTTTCTACGTTAGATGAAAGTAAAAAAAAAAATTCTTCATAGATCTCAAAGGCCATTTAGAGTTCTAAGACATTACTTGTTCACCAACAACATTTAAAACAGGAACAAGGCTAACATGAACCAAGCAAAAGTTGCTAGCACCTGCAAATGAGCATATATATCATGTAACAACTATTAAAATGGACATATAAGCTCTCCAACCGCAATTGCGGCCATAATTTAACCATTTTAGAGGCTTCCACAACATGATTTTACCGCAATATAAATGTCTGCGGAAGATTTTGTCGATAAATCAAGTATTCTCACCTACTCTATATGAAAAATGTCCTAATGCTTGAATAAAAGGCATGGACTCAATATCACCTGCAACCAGATCAAGGGATATTGGTATTGTTATTGTTATGAATTTATATTAAAGAATGGAAACAATCTAATTCTAACCATGAAGAGTGTATGTATGTACCTATGGTTCCACCCAATTCTATGACACATACATCAGCTGGACCTTCTTTTCCATCCACTGGTACGTGGGCCACTCTTTCTATCCAATCTTGAATAGCATCAGTTATATGAGGGACAACCTAAAGAAGAAAAGAACACCATAGTATCAAGATCTTAGTTAATCACAACAAACTTGATAAACAGTGAATTTGGGAAAATTACTAGTGTGTGCACTAGAGTAATTTTGACTAATCTTCAAGAAAATCAAAGTGTGACTAGTGATTTCATCAAATTACCTGTACAGTTTTTCCTAAATAGTCTCCTCTTCTCTCCTTATCAATGACAGACTGTAAAATCATGAAAAACAGCAAGGTTAGAAATTTGAACAGATGAAGGAGTTTGTTGTAAATTCATAAGATAACAATGATCTTGAGAATCTGTGACAGGTGGGGAAGAACAAGAGCATAATTCCATGAACTTGCCTGGTAAATCTTTCCTGTAGTTATGTTATTATCACGGGTCAACTTAACATCCATAAAGCGCTCATAGTTTCCAAGATCCAGGTCCACCTTTCAAAAAACAAAAGGGTCAAGATTCTTCTTACAAGACACTGCTTTTTTTTACTCAGAAAAGTTGACACCATTTTTTGTTTAATATTTTTATATATATTTGTCTGTGTCCTTGAAATCACAAAAAGAAAATTGTGTTTGTTTGTTTGTACCTCACCACCATCATCCAACACATAAACTTCTCCATGTTCAATAGGTGACATTGTTCCAGCATCTGTGTTCAAGTAAGGATCTGAAAAACCATAACAAAAACGTAAGACAAGCCATGAAAGGATATGAAATCAAACATGAAAAAGAATGCATGTTTAGAAAGAAAAGAAAAGATACCGATTTTGATAGCAGTGACACGAAGTCCACAAGCTTTGAGAAGTAAACCAATACTACTTGCTGTAACACCTTTACCAAGTCCACTAACAACTCCTCCAGTTACAAGAACATACTTCATGTTTTTTCTTGTTCAATGTCTTGTTGTTTTATGACACTAAAAAGTGTTTTTTTTAAGAAGAGAGTTGATGAAGAAGAAATGAAGAAAAGTTAGTACTAGTTTGAAGATGGAGACGACATGAGGGGGTGGTATATATACACCATTCTGGCTCTAATTCCACAATGGATCAGACGAGGAGAGAGACTGGGAGGAATTGACGGGTAAATTTTTTAAATATAATTAAAAATTAAATATATCAATTTTATTTTATGTGAAATATCAAATTATTAATTTATTAGAAATCTGTTGAAAAATACTAGTTAGTATTTAATGCACATCATGTTATGGTGTACTCTTCTCCCTTGGTTTATATTTTTATATAGGTTTTTTTTTATTTTATTTATTGTAAACAAGTTAATTAGTTTGATCATGTGAATGAAGTCTCTATCTAAGGATTGAAACTTTGTTAGGGGATGCTCTCTCTATGATATGTGATTATTATTTTGTAGTGTGTAGGTAGATTTTAAATTGTTATCGAGAAAGTTGTATTATTGATAGGGTAATGGTTTTGGTTTGTATTTTTTTTTAGTACAAGGTTAAAGATGAAGATGATGGTATAGAGAAAAAAAATTGTAACTAACTTTTAGATGAAAATGATTCTGTTACAACTGAAACATCAGTTCAACTTTTATACTATCTGAACCATTAAATGAAATTCAAATGCAAACAAATTAAATTGAATCTGAATTTGAAATACAACTAACATCATTCCTTAATTCATATTCAGTTAATTAAAAACAACACCAATTTCATCTCTTAAATGAATAAAGTGTTAAGTTTTAATTGCTTTAGTATTCACATTTACAAGTTGTTTCTGAGTGCTATGATGAATAATTTCAAGCACTCTATTCTGAATCTGATTGCGCAGAAAATGGAACTTCATGTCAATGTGCTTGCTCCTTCCATGCATCACTTGATTCTTAGTATGGCTTATAGCTGATTTGTTGTAAATTATCAACCTTATAGGCTTGCTCACCTTGATCTTCAAATCCTGCAATAAGTTCATAATCTAAATAGCTTGACATGCAGACAAAGCACCTGCAATGTACACAGTTTCACATGTTGACAATGCAACCACTTGTTGTTTCTTGAAACACCAATAAATGAGACCTCCAAAATACTTGAAGAAATATCCAGAAGTACTTCTTTTGTCAACTCTATCTCCACACCAATTAGAGTTTGAATAGCACATCGGCTCTAAATTAGATATAGCATCCGAAAGGAACAAAAATTCATACCTCAGTATCTTGACAGGAACTTGATAATGTGATAACTTTGGTTTGTTCATAAATCCACCCACCATTCTAACTGCATAACAAAAGTCAAGTCTGGTGTTACAAAGATATCTCAATGAGTCTACCAACTGTTTAAACGTTGTAGCATCTATATCATCACCCTCAACTTCAGAATGCTGCTTGTGATTTCTTTCAGCATGTGTGATTGCATACTTGCAATTTATCAACTCAAATCTCTTCAAAAGCTCAAGTTCAGATTTCAGCTGATGCAAAATTATACCCTTATCAGAGTACAAAATCTCTATCCCTAGAAAATATACCATATTTCATATATCAGTCATCTCAAACTCATTTATTAGCACTTTCTTGAACTTAGTTGTCTCATATGAACAACTCCTTGTTAGAAATATGTCATCAACATAGAGACACATCAAAATCATATTGTTATCAGATGTATGCTGAATATAAATATCATACTCTGTCTCATATTTTCTGAATCCTTGAAGCTTAAAAAATGAATCAATTTTCAGATTCCAAGCTCTAGGAGCTTGTTTCATCCATACAAGGCTTTGTGCAACTTGTACACCATCCTTTCCTGATTCTTTTTCACAAATCCAAAAGGTTATGACACATAAACTTCCTCTTGTAAAGGACCATTCAGAAATGTAGATTTCACATCTAAATGCAGTAGAGGATAATTTCTATTAGCAATTGTAGCAATCATCAATATGATTGTTTCATGTTTAGCTACAGGTGAAAACACCTCAAAGTAATCTAACTCAAATTTTTGTAGAAATCCTCTAGCTATTAACCTTGCTTTATATTTGCCAATTGATCCATCTGGATTCAGTTTCAACTTGTAAACTCATCTCACGTTGATGGCTTTCTTGTTCTTTGAAAGCTCAGTCAACTACCAAGTCTTGTTCTTTCTATAGCCTCAAGTTCTTCTTTTATTTCCTTCAGCTACAATTTCTTCTTGAGAGCTTATTCAGTACTGGATGGTTCAGAGTATACCAACATGGTACATTGAATGACTTCCTCTTCAGAGTCTATCTCAGTATCTTGCAACATGTCAAACTCTGCAAATATTCTTGATATTTATCTAATTCTTTGTGGTCTCTGAACTTAATCAGAAACTTTTTTAGATGCTGGAACAATATCGGATGCTGGAATACCTTCAGAGGTTGGACCACCTCCGGAGGCATGACCACCTTCAGAGGCATGGTTACCACCAGAGTCCAGATCATCATTAGAATTATATTCACCTTCAGAGTCAGACTCGTCTTCAGACTAGTCTTCAGCATCAGAGTCACCTTTAGACTCTTCTTCTTCAGACTCATCTTCAGAGGCAGAATCTCCTTCATAGGCATATTCTCCTTCAGAGTCTGAAATATCTTCAAAAGTTAACTCAGGTGTTAACATTGCACCAGAGTTGGATTGACACTTCTTCTAATCTCATGCTTTTGTTTCCTTCATAATGATATCTCTGTTGAATTCAACTTTGTTAGTGACTAAACAATAGAACTTATAAGCACCTTGTCATTTTTTTATATTATTATTTACTCCAGTTACTCCATTATCTAAACTGAGGGAAATTGTTACTACATTCAATACGAACCCAAATTGGAAATAACTTATTAAATCTTCAACTTAGCAAATCGAATCTCATTGGCATTCACCACCCAAAGAGAAACTCAGACTATCGTGCACTGCTCACTTTGATGTCCTTGGTTATGCTACTCCCTGGTTCATCAAATGCAGCATTATTACAAGCTTGGTGTTCATGATAACTGTTATGGTAAATGGAAAGCAATGGTTGATTTATTAATTCTCAAGACCAAACCTTTTTCTCGAGTCGAGGTTTATGAATATGCAGGCGCCAACCTACCATATTTCAGATTCGGTGCGTCGCTATGCGAAAAGTAACCATCTAAGACAGAGTCGCCATTGAACTTTATTTATCCCAACGGGGAAAGGAAAACATCAAGAAAACCTCAAAAGGGAAAGAAAATGGTCTCGCAACCAAATTCGGGGTTCAGGAGTCGATTACGCGAGAGGAAGGTATTAGCACCCCCTCACGTCTGTTGTACTCAACAGGATCCACTCTTGTTTTTCTAATCAAATGTTATGTATATCTAACACTTACTTGCTAAAGGAATGCATGAACGAAAAGGGGAAACAAAAGGGGGTTCACCAGGATCTCACAATCTTGTACCTACGTATTCCCTCGTGCAATGGGAAAGTCAGAGCAATCGTAGTTTGGAGGACTACAGTGAAAATGAAGGTTGCTCGCCAAGGATTAGGGCCCTTATGCCTACGTATTCTCAATGATAAATCAGAGCGTCCGTAGTTCGTAGGATTACGGGTTATTTGGTCTTTTTTATGGACAATGTTAATGTTCGCATTCTAGTAGTTAGGTTTTTCCGCTCGCACGTGAGGAGACTTACACTTTAGTCTGTATTACGATATAATGGAAATAACATGTCCTTTTTGAAAAGGTTTTGAATAGAAAACCCCGAAGGACAAAATGATTTTGCATTTGTTGACGTATTTTTGTTAGGATTTTGAAAAGAGTTTGAGACGCGTATTGTACTAAAGTCTATGACGGTAGGAGCGAATATTTTGTACAAACAATCCAAATGTCTCGCGTACAAAATACCCTAAGAAAAGGTAAGAAAAACTCCCGCTTATCTTTTCCCACATACTTAAGGCTCATGACGTACTACACGCATCGTGTTTAATAAGTATTTTTTATTTATTTTGATGCAAGAAAAGATTTGGATGCAAAAAGAAATAAAAATTAGGGAAACTGAATCCTAAATGTTATCATGCAAAGTGGTCCTAAGGTTAAGATAAAAAGAAAAATCTATCATAATGTGATTATGCAAGATGACCCTAAAGTTGAAGATGAAAGGAGATTCTATCTTAAAGTTGTCATGCAAAAGATTAGGAACGTAAAATCTATCCTACTTCAATTTTAATCAAATATTAAATTGAACTAGAAGGTAAGAATTAACAAGGGAAAACAAACCTAAACATGGAAGCAAACAATCATAAGATAGAATCAAACAAAAAGAGAATTATTAACCAAGTTAAATATTAAATATTTAATAAAATTAATTAATTAATTAATTTTAAATAGAAATATTTAAAATAATTAATAATTCGCAAATTTATAATTTTACAACCTTTTTTTTGCCTAAGTTTTGAAGTAACCCTCCTTATTTTCTATTTCATGATTTTTTTTTATAATATTAAATGAATAAGAATAAATGATCCGAAAAATTCACTAATCTTACAATACTAATCTTAAAATAAAATACTAATCCTAGAATAAATATTAATCTTAAAATAAGATATAACCTTAAAATAAACTACTAAAAAAACAAGGAGGCTTCCAACCAAGTTGGGGGGAAATATGAAGATTGGGGTGCTAGACAGAGTTAGTGGGCCAAGAAGCCACTAAGCCCACATTTATGTTAGTTTTTCGAATGAGAAAAAAAGTTACAGATCTATGTGCAAAATCAGTATAGAAGAACAAAACAAGACTTAATGTATAACTTCCTCAGAATCCTTTGGAACACGACCTCAGAGCCTCCACTGACCATGATAATCAATTTCTTCAATTGAAATCCCAAAATCACTTCCTCAAATGTTCTTACCACAAATACGGTTTCACCCTTCAATGCTTCTTCAAAAATCACTTATTGCAATCAAGCTTGTTCT